GAGTCAACTGTTTAGGTCCAGATTATTCCTTGTTATCCATATGAGTGAATTACTCAGTTCTGTCTGAATTTGCTGGACCTCACCCTGTCATAGGTAGAAGGCATTCCTACCTAACCCAAGCAGGTTGTTCCATTACTGTTTGACCCAGCCATTTTGGGCAAGCCTTTCCCATTCCTTCCTGGTCATTCTCTGTTGTCACCTACTTTTTGTGAGATGGAACATTCTAGAAGAATTCCATGTCTCTGTATCTTCTATCACAAAGGAAGTAACTCCTGTTCATTGCTTATTTTAATTTTTAGATTTTTGAGACGGTGCTCACTGTGTAGACCAGGCTGGCCTTGAACTCAGAGATATGCCTGCCTCTGCCTCCCTGTTGGAATTAAAGATGTGCACCACCACTGTCCTGCATTATTTTTATTTTAAAATTAAAATGTGACTCCATCACATTCTTCTTTCTGCAGTCCCCATGCTCTCTTCCTTGTTTCTCTGGCTATCATGACCTTCTTTGTTATTGTTACACATATAAATATATAAATGTGACCTACTCAGTCCATTTAGTGTTACCTGTATGGATATCCTCAACCACTGTTAATCTTTGGGTGTGTGATACCTTCTCCTGACCCCTACCATACCCCAAACTATAGTACTCTGCCACTTTTGTGTCCCTGCCTGGACCAATATTCCCTTGCCTGCCTCCTCCCAGCTGTAAGGGACTTGAACCTACAAATTATTACATCCCAAAACCAAGACCCTACTAACTACCAACTACTAGCAAGACCCATGAGCACGCACTCCCCCAATACTATTTTAACAGTCCAAAAGTCTAAAGGTTTCTACCCTAGTCCAAGCTTTACGCCTAAACAACTGAACTGCTGTTCTATATACCTGGGTGGTCTCCCACAGCCTTCTTCCACCTCTTCCACCTTCCCTTAATCAGTCCTAGATCTCAAGATGCTTTTTCTAACCATTCCCCTTGACCCTTCTTGTCAAGACCTTGTCATACTGATGACCTGGACACCTTTGTATAATAGCAACTCCAGGCTGTTTCACACACTTGAGATTCTCCAGACTGTTCATCCGGAACCTGATGCCTCTTTCTGCTACCTCATCTTCCCATCCTCCATGCCCTTGTCTCTTCTCAGCACCCCTGCCCCAAGACTCTCCAGCTGAAAGAAAGGAGAGCCACCCACAAAGACTTCTGGTATGTTCTCAATAACTACCTTACTTGCCTATCTGCAATGGGAGAAGGCCTCCTTTCCACTCTACCCAATGCATTCTATATGGGACATTAGCCTCTGCTTACCTAAGACATCTCTCTACTTGTTACAGACTGTACCATCACCTCCCATTGTACTGTTGGCTCCTGAGTCTTCTAGCAAAGGGTGCTCAGCCTGCCTCCCTTCCAAGCTGCCAAGCCTGAGGACATAATCCAGGACAGTCCTGCCAGCTGTCTTCACATTGGTGGCCATTGCTCAGGCTGTAAAGAAGCCCTCCCCACTTAGTCTGAGAGGGCACAGCAGTCATTCATGACCACTTTTTCTCTCTCAAATCCTTCTTCACTCTGGCTGGCCTTCCTCTCTGCAACTAGAAATGGACCTGCCCTATTCCAGATTGTTTTGCCTGTTGTCTTCATTTTGGTTTAAGTAGGAAACCCTTTAGCACAGCATGGTAACATAGGCTTAAAATCCCTAGGTACTTGGGACGCTGAAGCAGCATGGCCATGAGTTTGGAGATGGCCTGGACCATTAACGACCCCCAAATCTAGCAGTCAGATACTGTGGCAGCCGTCAGAAGCAGAACACTCAACTTGTCACTGGGGAGGGGAAATGGAAGCAGGTGGATGGTGTCAGCTTCTACAAACAGAAGCCAGCTAAAGTAAGGAAGAAAGGAACCACAGGAAGGGGCTGAGAGCTTGGTGCTAAGTGGGTTTCCCAGCATCCTCAAGGCTCCTTAAGTGGGCCTCTACCATGTCCCCTTCTTCCTTCTCTTTCCTTTGACACTTGGTTCTGGGGACTGCCACTTGGGTTGTTGTCTCTAAAGCCTGGTCCTGGGGCTATTTGTCTGACACATCCTTCTGACAATGGGTGGGCCAGCATTCTCACAAGGGCTGAAATAGCATCAAGTTTCTACTACTCCATCTTTCAAGACCTTTCCCAGGCAGACACACCTTCCTTAGCATCATCATTGCCTCATCCAGGAACTGGCACAGCCAGAGGCCCTGCTTTCTCTATCTGCCCTCTCCTAACGAGGTGAATGTGCATGGCGAGGATGGCTGAACTGGGAAACCAGCACTAACCACACTGCTACTTGCACTGTAGGGTTGCATCACCCTGGAGCTGTCTCCAGGAAGCACGATGAGAAGCCACATTTCTCCATGTGCACAACAAAGAGTCAGGAATCAGCGAAGAAAGCTGACCCTGAAGCAATTTGGTGGTCACAGTAACAGGCTTCACCATGCCTGGAGTACAGAGACGGGCCTGCAAATGACAGCAATCAATCAGACAGGTTGCCTCTGGGGACAGGCCACAGAAGCTCAATGTGTGGCTAAGGGAGAGCCCACAAGACTGTCCATGGAAGGAACAGCTAAACAACACATGCCAACATTCGGGGTCCTGTTGGAAATTGATTTAGACCACTTTCCTGAAACACAATCTACATTTTAAGATCCCAAGGTAGGCTGGCATGGAGGTGTGCTTGGAAGCTGGAGACGGGAAGACCAGGAGTTCAAGGCCAGCCTCCTCTATATAGTGAGTTTGAGGTAGGGCTGAGTTATTTAAGGTCCTGTTTGAAAAAACCAAAACCAGGAAAACAAAACAAAACCCCCAAATGACTCAGTGTAATTAAAAACTATCTCCTGATGGGATGACTCATGTTTCAATTGCTTTTTCTACTCAATAGCTTCACTCTCAGGCAGATTCCTTCCCTGGCATTAGAAGCAGAGTGGTTATATGCAGCCTGAATAGGACTAGCTGATCTGACATCTGTAAAACTCCCCAGAGCAGGCCTTTAATCCCAGCACTTGGGAGGCAGAGGCAGGGGGATCTCTGTGAGTTCAAGGCCAGGCTGGTCTACAGAGCGAGTTCCAGGCCAGCCTCCAAAACAATATAGAGAAACCCTGTCTTGAAAAACCCAAAACCAAACCAAAACAACAACAACAAAAACTCCCCAGACCCTAACCCTAGTGTAAGTTTCCAATTGCACATTGAAGGGAACCAAGCAGATTGCTTCTAGGGGCCAGATGGCGAGGTGCGCGCCTGCACGGGAAGCAACGCCTGCAAACACCAAGGCTTGTACTCAAGAAACACAGCTCATCAATCATGCTGCATGGCCTACATACTGGGCCTAGCCCAAGCTCTCAGGCACATGCCAGTCCAGGAAGTTTCCAATTAAGCCCTAGGCGGGGAACCTGTCAAAACAGGTACAGCACAGACCCTGTTTCCAAGGCTGTATACTTAGACCCATGATCTTAAACACCCATTTCCGTGGGCCTTCATGGCTGACTGCCGTGGTGAGACAACATTGTCAATGGGACTGCTATACGGATCCAGCTCACACCTTTATCTGGGCTTGCTGAGGAATGCACTTTTATCCCATCTGTTATTCTCCAGCCATTTTTATTTTTTTTCTGCAGTGCTTATTTATTTAACTTTTCATCCCATCTTCAAAGCCTTTAAAGACCCCGCCCCTTGGCCAGTTGCTTGTTTCCGGTGTTGTCCCCATCAAACACTACTCTGGGGGGTGCTGGGGCTTGGGTGTAGGGTGCTTGTTCAAGGCACTGGTTCAAGGCCCAGTGCTGAAAAGCCCAGACCAAACTGCCACAACCACACAAGCCACCCCAAACCAGCACCAACAGCCATTTTTATTTTTTAAGGAAAAATTGCCCTAGAGAGCTGGGATGCTTTTACATGTAAAATAGACATGTTTTGAAAGTGGGCAGATGGGGTATGAGACACTTGTGTTCAAAGTCTTCGATCTAAACACCCCAATCCTCTAACCTGGCAGAGGAGAGACAGGTGTGTAAGGACTAAAGCAACGAGCTAGCCTCGACATGGCATGTTAGGTCTGCCTTTAGGGGCTGCACTGGTGAACGAGGAACACTGTGGTATGTCTGCAGGTCCACACTGACCCAGAACTCACATCAATATGAGTGAAGCTGCTCACGGATCTCAGCTGTCAGATCCCCAGAGGCAGTCATTGTGGATCTTGGCAAGACCAGAAAGCTAGCTCTGCTGGGATGTAAACTGGAGGCCTCAGTCTGAAGGGTGAGCTGACTCACTAGGTCACAACCGCCACAGCAGGGAATGGAGCAGGAAATGGTTAACTGGGAAACTCATGCCAGTGAGCTTCCTATGAGGCCTCGGTCACGTTTACCAGCAAGAAAAACAGGACCCAGGTTGAAATGAAGGTCCCCTTTTTTAGGACTGGGACAGCAGCTGTTCAGCAGCCACTCTGTCTGTCTCCATCAAAGAGTACAGGGTGAGCCAAGGCTAGGGGGCCATGCTGAAGTCACTGGGAATAATGTTATGAGCCCTGCTCAGAGGTGATGCAAGAGCATGCTAGTGTTACAAACTCCATCACAGAAACAGCGACTGCCAATCTAGGCAGGCCGCTAGTGTTCCTTTCTCAACTGACCAGTCAGTTGTCAAAAGCATGGGTGTCTAGAATCCATAGGAACTCATTCTACTGTTTTCTTTAACAATTCTTACAAGTACTTTGGGACACTGTTAACATTTAGATTACTATCTAACTCTGCTAGGTCACACTGTCCACATCTTAGTCCTGAATCACAAGGAACCCACACCCCCAGGACCAACACTGCATGCCAGGCACTTGGTCAAGCCTTCTTTGATGGGTGGAGGCAAAGCAAACACCCACGGCACACGCCATGTTCTATTACCCTATCCTTTTTGGTCAGAGTAAAAGATCTACATTCTTGTGATCTTGTCAAATTTCTGAGGGCGATACTAGAAAGGCAGCTGCAAAGACCACAGACACTTTAATTTACATAAAATTATTTCACTCCATTTTATTTAAGATTTTTTTATCCAGTTAGTAAAAGAAAGATGTGTCTCTCTTTATACATATGTACAAGTTCAGCTATAAAAATAGACAGCACATTCAAAGAGAAAAAGGCTTGGCATTTTTCTGATCCCCTCTAAAGAGCATCTGTACACAGGAGGCAGGGTTTGGGTAGGGGAATCTTTATGATTTAAATTAAATGATTTCCCCTACACCTACTCCAAAAAAAAAAAAGTTTAAAAAATCAATCTATCTAAACTCAATTCCGCGATTTTCAGGTGTGCAAATTAGAGGCTGGCCCGCCCAGAAGCACCTGTTCCACCAGGGACATCAGGTGGAAAGTCCTCCCAGCCGCCCCTTTCCCCTCTCAGAGGGCAGCAAGCTCAGGCAAGTGGGGCCGGGGCTGGGAGGGGTGGTGCTGAGCTTGCTCCCTCCCCATCTCACTCCTGCTGTCCCTTCTTTCTCAGTGCAATACAGACAGTGCATACAGCCAAGCAGGGGGCTGACGGGCAAAGCCAGGGAGACTGTGCATTCAGGACGGACAAAGCATCCGCAAGAGGGTGGTGGGGGTGTCCTGCTGATTGAGGTGGCTCCTGGTCTCTTTACTGGCTTCTGGGAAGTCCCTTGAGTGGGGGCTGCTGCTACTGTTGCTGGTGGGAGTAATGCTTCCCTGGTGTGAACGTGCTGGACAGTGGAGGAATGCTGGGAAAACTGCCTGTGGGTCTGCTTCCTCCAGCCTCTGTCATCCTATAGCCACCGTCTTCTCTGGCATCCACTGCACACTTAGTAATGACACCGTGGCAAATGGGGTTTAGAGACCCAGCAGCACTCCAGACAGTGAATACCAGGGAACCATTTCCTCCCTTTCTAGCCCTATAGGAAATCATAACCTTTAGAGAGGTCTCCACTATAGAAGGCTCTTCACAGCACCGGTGGAGCCTTCATAAGGGACATGGTCAGAGCTGAAGAGTGGATGTGGATGGAGACTGTGCCTGAGCATCTGAAAGGGGTCTGTGTCAGGCCCTTTCCCAGAAAGAGGTTAAGACTTGGCTGCAGAGTTCATCTGGGTGCTGTGGGACAGCACCCAGGACACTCCTTTGGAAACAGGTGATAAAAGTGCTCACACCGACTGACCACCTGCCTGTCCTCTTCTGCTGCAACTGGTCTTTTCCACTCTCCAGATAGGATGCAAGATGCCACACTGGATAAGCCATCCAAAGACCACCTGTGGCCTGGGACTGCAGCCCCTGGTTTGGTTGAAGGAAGCTAGAGGGCAGAGATGGTTACCGTCCTCCAGCGGGGTTGGTGCCTTTGCCCTGTTTCCGGATCAGGGAGTCTGAGGCTAAGCTGCTGGTCATGTGGAGGCTCTTAGGAGTCCCAGGAATATTATTTCCTTTGTTCAAAGGGGAACTTAAAGGAGAAGAGGCGCTTGAAGGTCCAAAGTCTGCAAGGCCAGCAGGTCGGACAAGGGATGTCTGCAGAGGACTGCTTGCGGAGATTCCTGTGGGGATGGGGAAAAATCACAATGACCCTTAGTGGCAGTTGTCTGTGAGCTGCCCTGGCAGTCTGCAGTATTGGTCTAAGGGTGGGCTGGAGGAAAGGGCTGGGAACTCCTCTCTGCTGTTCTTTGCCAACATCTTTGAGGTGTATTTGCTAGTTTTCCTGTTAATGGCTTTCTGTAAAATGGCTGGGTTGTTAAGAAATGGTGACACACTGGTTCTGGAAAGGGCAAGTGTCCAGGGCAGGAGGCCTGGCTGCAGCATGAGCCAAGCACTAGGCACTAATGTTTTCTTGTCTTCTTCTGGAAAGCACTTCTGTGCAACAGTCCTGGCTGTCCTAGACCTCACTATGTAGGCCAGGCTGGCCTTGGACTCAGAGATCTGCCTGTTTCTGCCTCTTGATTAAAAGTGTGTGTCATCATACCCAGTGCCTCTTCCTTCTTTATTTCAGAGGCCTCTACTCCTCAAGTCTGGCCTGGGGATACAAGGTGACCCAGCCTATCATATGTCTATACCCAGTACATTCTCTAGCACCAGCCAAGTCCACCTCTGTTCTCCAAGCTGTGTCATATCAAAGACTTTGGTGACTGTTCCTTGGACAACAATGAACTTTCCCTTCCCTAGACTGAGATAAACGTACCTACTTCTTATAACTCCACACTGTCTAGTATGCTTGTTCTGTTTATTTGCTATTCCTTTTTTCAGGAGCCCAAGCTGGTCTTGTCAAACTTACTACACAGCAAGGAGAACCTAAAACTCTTGATTCTACTACCTGTACCTCCCATACTGGAATTCCAGGTGTGTACCACATGCCTAGCTCTGTTTCTTCTGCATTATTTGGTGGGCAGATAGATCTGTTTCACCCCCTCCATGGATGGGGCAATATGATGCACACCAGAGAAGCAGGCTGGAGGGATACAGGAGATGGAATAAGGAGATAGACTGGCCCAAGAATAATCAACAAGGATGGCAGCTGGGAGGGAAAAATGAGGACTGGTCTAGAACTTGCCTCTGGGTGCTGAGGCTATGGATGCATGCTACCCTATCTAGCTGAGACCAGGTTTTGCATAGGGGTGGGGAGGCTCACAGCTCTTGCATGACTTGCATTCTGACTCCAATGATCCTTCTTATGTCTCTCCAGCTGTCAACAGTCTATTCTCATACACCTGTTAGGCTCTTACCTATCAGGTCTGGCATGTCTTTCCAACCTTGACTTCCATTGCTCCTCTTCAGTGTAACTTGGCAGACACAGCTCAGTGAACCACAACATGCCATCCATGATGGATGCCAACTCTTACATTGCCTGAATCCTTTCTCACACATATTCTCCTCCATTCTGAATGATACCCCACAATCCTCCCCGCTTTAACCTGTAACCACAAGTAAGCTGGCCTCTTTGTACTTAACTTGTATTGTTTATAAACCAATCCATGAAATGCTTCTTTTTCCACTTGTTACACTCAAGGGCAGGATCTACAAGCCTTATAACTTTACTCCTATGAGCCCCAGGTGTTCACTGCCTAAAGTGACAGCTCAGGTAGCTAGCTTGATGAATGAACTATCCTTGTTTGGATTACTAAAATGTCTCAGAAAAAAAAAAAAAACACCAAACAAACCTATAATAAAAAAAAAAAAAAAAAAGAAAGAAAAGAAAGGAAAAGTGGATTGTTTCAAGTGTAGTCCCCAATTCAGCTTGCTCTGGCCAAAGCTACTTCTACTCCAAAGATGGTAATTTATAAAGCAGAGAGGGCAAGGGATGCGTCAGAACTGCTCAGTTCTGGGGCTCTGGGGTTCTGGCCTGGAGTATCCTGTACACTCTACCTTGTAAAATGCTAAAGAGATTCTCAGACAGTCATTGAACACGGTCTGTAGCCACCCTGGCCTCCGCACCTTTAGACACATTGTACCCGTATGCAGCATAAGCAGCTGCAGAAGCCGCTGCAGCCCCGGCTTTGGCTCCGGCCATTGCAGCAGCACTGCCTGCTGTGGACTTGCGGCTCCGGCCTTTCCCTGCTCCTTTGGCTGTGCTTCCTGAACCTTTGGGGCGGCCACGGCTTCGAGCTGAGTGACCACGTCCTGCAGCTGGCACTTCCTGAATGGAAATTCCTGTGGAAACAAATAGTCAAGAGGGAAAAAAAATAAATCTCTTAAAATGTTAACAAATATTCCCTTGACAGGGAATGTTGGCCCTCAAGGTATTCTGTTTGAGACAGGGTTTCTCAAAACTGCTCAGGCTGACCTCAAACTCCTGATCAAGTAATGTAGTCTCAGTCTCCTGAGTTCTGGACTATAGGCACAGGGTAAGTGCCTGGCTCGCTGAGTGTCTGAGGACATCTGGGGCTGTCATTTAGCACAGTTACGCTTTCCTAACTAACGAGTGGCTCTACCATTGTTATTTTATTATTTTTTTAAAAAAATTTTGACACTTATTAAATGAAATTCAAATTAGTGTTTCTGACTTGGATAATCCCACCCCCTACCCCCACCCCATCTGAGTTTGTGAGATGGCTAAAGACTGGATACCAAGTCCCATGGCCTGATTTGATCCCTAAGACCAAGGTGGTAGAAGGAGAGAACCAACTCTTATAACTTGTCCTTTGACCTGCACATGTGTGCACACACTCAATAAATGTGCCTGATGTAGTGGTGCATGCCTTTAAGCCCAGGATTTGTGAGTAAGGACTTGCAGATCTCTTACAAGTTTAAGGCCAGCCTGGCCTACATAGTGAATGCCAGAGCCATGTGAGAGACTGTGTCTCAAAAAAACCAAACCAAAATGAAAACAGTAAAAAAGAAAAAAGTCCCTTATCCTAAAAACAACTGGACCTCACTCACCACCAACGAATGCTTCCTAGAATGTAGAGGAGCAGGCTGGGGCTGCAGGGGACAAGGCTGGGGCTGTAAGGGACAGCAGCATCACTTACCATTCACAGTGTCCGAGACAGAGCCTGTTATGGAAGCAGGAGAGTTAGTGGCTCGAGACTGAGGAGCTGAGGAGGCTGGGTCATCCACGATAACCAACATGTCACTGCTGCTCTCATCAGGGGGAATGGAGCCAGTGTGCAGCTCACTGCTGATGGAGATCTAGAAGCAGAAAGGTTGAGATAGCATCCTCATGTTCAAGTAAGAACAGCCTCAGGGGACATACACGTATGTCTCTCCTGCCTGTCTTCAGTGGTGATTCTGTCTTGGGTTCTGAAAGCCAGCCTGTCCTATGCAATCCTTTCCTACAAGGCTGAAAGCTGCACAGCAGTCCAGCATCATGTCCCTGCCACAAGGTCAGAATGCAGTCCCAGTGCTGTGATGAAGACATCCAGGAGCCTCACCTCACTGAAAGGGCTGGGCATGGCCGAATCTACACTTATGAAGGAGTCATCGCCATCAGCAGAGAGGTTGGAGTTATCAGCAGAAGGAACAAATGGGATCACGAGATTCATACCCTCTTTTCTCCTTTTCCCATCCAATTCATCTTCCTTTTTCTTCTGGGAATAAAAAGATCAGAAAACACATAAGAGACATGAGCATTTGCCCCAAAGAGAAAACTGAGTAGGAATAAACTAATTACAGGCAGAGTCTTGCTATACGGCTCCAGATAGCGTGGTCCTTGTTATGTTTCCTAGCTTGGTCTCATTGCCCTGCCTCAGCCACCAAGTGCTAGGACAAGCAGCATACACCACTGCAACCATCTCGAGACAGGCTCCTACTGCACAGCTCAGGCTGGCCTCAAATTTCTTCCTGCCTCTAATTTCTTGACAGCATCACCGTTCTGGCTCAATTCCTTGTGTGTGTAGGTTATGTGTGTACTGAGGATGGAACTAAGGTCTCTCACATGTGAGGGAAGAATTCCAGCACTGAGCCACATCTCAAGCCCTGAATCACCATATCTTTTTTCGAGACAGGGTTTATCTATGTAACCGTCACAGTCGTCCTGGAATTTGCTTTGTAGACCAGGCTGGCCTTGAACTCAGAGATCTGTCTACCTCTGCCTCCTGAGTGCTGGTATTAAAGGCATGCGCCACCACTGCTGGCTCTGAATCACTATATCTTAGAGGAAGTAAAAATTCACAAAGGAGAGGAAGGTAAATTATCTCTCCACACCCTCTACTAAGCCAGTCTGTTTGTCTGTGTCTGTCTGTCAGCCTGTCAGCCAGGCCCTTTTCTGGATTGTTGAGACAGTCATGTTGCTACATCTATTAAAGAGTTAAGAGTGTACAACACTGTGTAGTTCATGATGTCATCGAGTACTTCCTGTTCTATACTTGGAACAGGGATGACATCTGATTGAAATTGTTAATTTACAACAGGCAAGATGGCTCAGTGGGTAAAGGTGATTGCCACTGAAGCCTAAGGATCCCAGTTCAAACCTCAGAGTCCATGTAAAGGAAGAAGGAGAGAACCAATTCCACAAAGTTGTCCTCTGACCTTCCCACACCCAGCGTGGCATGTGCACATGAGCACATACACACTAACACTCAGACAAAAGAACTGTTATTTTCTGTAATATCCTATGTGAGAAAGCCACCATTTGTTTGGACAGGTTCTCTGTCCTCCCTTCGTTGTTAATACCCCTTTTTAAAGGAATAGGGACGATACCCAAGTACTCTAACATCAAGCTACAGACCTTGACCTTTTTCTGAATGTTAAGTCATTTTAGGATTTCCCAACTCTATAAAAGAAGCTAGTACAAAGTGTCCACAGGCTAAAACGGGCTCTTCATTAAAGGGGCTGTAACAGACCAGCTCTAGGCTGCTGACCATCAAAGGCCTGTGACCAAAGGGATCCAGCCCCAGCCTTTTATTTTGGAGACAGTCTCATTGTGTAGCCATGGCTGGTCTGGAATTCAGACATCTGTCTACCTCTGCCTCCCAAGTGCTGGGGTTAGGGGTGGGTGCCACCATGCTCGGCCAGTCCTTCCAGAAGATTCTATGAAAGAAGTCAAGCATGGCTGATAGGTGGTAGTGCATGCCTTTAATCCCAGCACTCGGACCTCTGCTGGGATCTGTGTGCCTGGTCTATTGAGTTCCAGGATAGGCTCCAAAGCTACACAAGAGTAACCTTGTCTCAAAAAAACCAAAAGTCAAGAGTGGTAGCACAAGCCTTGAACTCCAACACTCCTGAGGCTCGTGCAGGAGGATTTTGTGAGTTCCAGTCCACCCTGGTCTATACAGTGAGTTCCAGCCTGCCCAGGGTTATGTAGACAGACTATCTCAAAAAACAAGATATTTTATAAAAGCTAGTTATGTAAGTAACATCACCTTAGTCATCATAGTTATCTCTGACAGATTACCTCATTAAATGTGTATCAGCACAGACCTATTTCAAATCACACAGATGGGATTCGTGAGACAGCTCAGCAGATAAAAGTGCCTGCTTGCTAACTGGAGGACCTGACATTAACCCTCAGAACCCACATGAAGGAGAGAGATCAGCTGTTCTCTGATCTCTTCATGCAGGCCATGGTTTACCATGTATGTGCAAATATGTATGTACATGCATGATCCAAAGGCTTTTTTGTACTTCTGAAAGTCATTCCAGGCCTTGCCAGTCCCTGTCCAACCCCAGTCTGGAGATACCTTCTCTGCGTATTTTTCTCGTTTGCGTTTTCGTTCTTTCACTCGGTTGGTCTCCTCCTGTTGCCGTTTCTCCTCCTGCCGTAGTCTCACTACCAAGAAAATATAAAAATACTGGAGAGTCTTTGCGAATCAATCTTTATGCCCTGAAATTTTGGGCTATATCCTCTAGTGGCTCCTAAAGTATAATTTTGTGTTGTTTAAGAAAAATACTGGTGTTGCTGTGTGACTTTAATCCAACTCATGGGAGGCAGAGATGGACTGCTGGGGTAAGCAAATCCCAGGAAGTTCAAGGCTGGCCTGATCTACAGAGCAAGTTCCAGGGCAGCCAGGGCTATATAGAGAAACTCTTGTCTTGAAAAACAAAAAAGAAAAGGAAAGAAAAATACTGGTGTTTTCCTAACTTCAGAAACAGTAATGATTAGTGTCTTAACAGGTTTTAGGTTTAAACCAGGATTCCATTTAATTATTATGGCTTTCCTTGTCTTTCCGACTTGAAAAGAGCTTATTCTTGGGTGTGGGGCTATGGGGCTGTGGACATGCTCATAGGAACTCACAGTGTAAATCTGAAACTCAGTATAAACTTAGAAACTCTAGGTTAAAGGTCTTTATGGCTATAGAAGCTTGCTGTTGAAATTCTGTATAAAATATTTTTCTGGTCTAGTGGGAGGGCTCACCAGGTAAAGGTACTTGGTGACAAGCCTGACAAAGTGAATTTGAAGTTAAAACCCACAGAGTGGAAGGTAACCACAACATCATGAAGGCTATCTTCTACTACATGTGCTGCGGCATGCTTGTGTGCATGTGCATACACACACACATACTTAAGTACACAAATAAACACATACACATAATTTAAAATAAAAATAACTTCTGGCTTTGGCATACACAGTGCTCATCTCATCGATGAGTCTGGGGAGGACAGAATGCTAGCTGCCAGAGTACGTACGTTTCTTCTCCAGCTCTTCATCATCCAGAAGAAGGCTAACCACCTCTTTGGGTTTCAAGGTATCTGGTTTGAAGTTCCCACCAGAAATCACCATTCGCTGAATCTGCACAAAGTGGATTGAAATGTCACTTCCAGGTATCCATTCCCAGATAGCAAACATCAAAACCTTCCCTCTGAACTAGCTCCAAAGGGAGGCATTGGCTTTACCACTTCTTGTTCACATGGCTGACTCCTCCACAATACTTGTCCCAAGCAAAGGACAGTTGGGGTTCTTTTGTTCGGGACTATTAACAGGAGTAATTACTCTGGCAAACTGAGGCAGACTGAAATGTTAGCCTTCCTCCTCTAAAACTGAGCATGACACACTCCGAAGTGTCAGTGTGCACATAGCAGCCTGTCTATAGGCTCTCATGTTTACCATGACTAATGAAAGACAAGAATCTTAAAATGGGGGCTGGAGAGATGGCTCAGAGGTTAAGAGCACTGACTGTTCTTCTAGAAGATTTGAGTTCAATCCCAGCACATATGTGGCAGCTCCCATCTGTCTGACTCCAGTTCTAGGGGATCCAACACTCTCACACAGAAGGCAAATCACCAATTTATGTAAATAAAAACAAACAAACAAATAAATAAATAAAAAGAACCTTAAACAGCCTCAATCCAGTTAGTACAGCATGATTCCTTTCTTCCCCTTGCTTACCTCACTCTTTTCCTTGGCTCTCTGCAGAATACGCTCCTCAATTGTGCCTTTACAGATGAGCCGGTACACAGTGACTTGCTTTGTCTGCCCTAAGCGGTGGGCCCTATCCATGGCCTGCTGGTCTACAGTGGGGTTCCAGTCACTATCGTAGAAAATCACCTGCAGAGGCAAGAAGAGAATACAACAAAGACTGATGTGCTCTGAGTGCTGGACAGAAATTATGAGAGCAGTACAGTCACTGATCTGTCTGTAAACACTGGTGCTAGCCAGGCCAGATTTTTTTCCCCTATCATCTCCGTAGTGACAAGAAAGTAAGTCCATAGAAGACCAACATGCTCCTGGTCCATCCACAGTTTCCATTGAAAAGATGGAAGTATGGACTGGAGAGATGACTCAGTGATTAAGAGGATAAGGACCAGTGTTTTATTCCCAGTACACAATAGAGGTTGATAACCACCTATAACTCCAGTTCTAGAGGATCTGACACATCCAGCCTGCTTGTGCATGCACACTTGTGCACACATGCATGCACATGAGATTAAAAATAAAATAAAAGGAGGGATAAGACAGACCCTATCTCATGGAACCCAAGCTGGTCTTGAATTTGCTATGTAGCTAAGAGTGACCTTGAATACCGAAAGTCTCTACTTCCCAAGTGTTAAATATTACTCATAAGCAATTTATCTGTGTACAGAGTGTTGGATCTCCTGGGATCAACGTTACAGATGGCTGAGCTGCCATGTAGAAACAAGGTTCTCTAGAAGGACAGTACATGCTCTTAACCACTGAGCCATCTCTCTAGCTCCCTGATTCTATTTTTTTTTATATAGGATGTCATTATGCATATTAGGCTACCCCTGAGCTTACAGTGATTTTTTTGCTTCTGCCTCATGAGTGGTAGGATTATAGGTGTGCACTGCTATGCCTGCTATGGCATCAGCATCTTAAATTTTTTTTAATTATTTATTTTATGTATTGGTGTTTTGGGCATCAGCATTTTGATGCTTTTGGATGTGTTACTTGAAACACTTCACTGGCTCATTTATATAATGTCCTATTTGTTTTGGTGTTTCATTTTTTTTCAGACAAGGTCTTTCTATGCAGTACAGGCCAGCCATGAGTTCACTGAATAGTCTTATGATCCTCCTGTCTCAGTCTTTAAGTCCCAGGACTACAGATGTATGTCACCACACCTGTCTGGTCTTACCCTCTACCTCCACCCAGGGTTTCTCTTGTCACCTCACTCAGTATGGCTTTTTCTCGTTTCGTCCATTTGCTGGCAAATTAAAATGTCATTGTTTTTTACTGCTGAGTAGTAATCCATCGGGAAAATGTACCACATTTTCCTCATCCATTCTTTGGTTGAGGAATATCTAGGGTGAATCCATGTTCTGCCTACTAAGAATACTGCTGCTATGAACAAAGACGAGCAAATGTTCTTGTGGTGTGACTGTGCATTCTTTGTGTATATGCCCAAAAGTAGTATTGCTGGGTCTTGAGGTAGATTGATTCCAGAAACCACCATACTGATTTCCAAAGCAGTTGTACAAGTTTGCACTACCACCAGCAATGGAGGAGCATTCCCTTTACTCCACATCCTCTCAGCATAAGCTGTCATCAGTTTTTGATCTTGGACATTCTAACAGGTGTAAGACAGTATCTCAGAGTTGTTTTGATTTGCATTTCTCTGATGAATGGCTAAGGATGTTGAATATTCCCTTAAGTATCTTTTAGCCCTTTGAGATTCCTCTGTTGAGAGTTCTCTTTTTAGGTCTGTACCCCATTTTTTTTATTGGATTATTTGGGCTTTTGATGTCTAGTTTCTATAGTTCTTTGTATATTTTGGAGATCAGTCCTGTCAGATGAGGGTTTGGAAAAAAAATTTTCACATTGTGTAGGCTGCTGTTTTGTTGACTGTGTCCTTTGCTTTACAGAAGCCTTTCAGTTTTTTTTTTTTTTTGTTTTGTTTTGTTTTTTGAGACAGGGTTTCTCTGTATTGTTTTGGAGGCTGTCCTGGAACTCGCTCTGTAGACCAGGCTGGCCTCGAACTCACAGAGATCCGCCTGCCTCTGCCTCCCGAGTGCTGGGATTAAAGGCGTGCGCCACCAACGCCTGGCGCCTTTCAGTTTTAGGAGGTCCCACTTATTCAATGTTACTCAGTGTCTGTGCTACTGGTATTATATTTAGGAAGTTGTCTCTTATGCCAATGTGTTCAAGGCTGCTTCCTACTTTCTCTTCTATCAGGTTCAGTGTGGTTTTATGTTGAGGTCTTTGGTCCATTTGGACTTAAGTTTTGTGCATGGTGTTAGATACGGATCTATTTGCATTCTTCTACATGTTGATATCCAGTTTTGCCAGCACCATTTGAAGATGCTTTCTTTTTTTCATTTTATAATTTTAGCTTCTTTGTCATAGGTGTGTGGATAGATATCAGGGTCTTTGATTCAATTCCATTGGTCCACCTGTCTGTTTGTATGCTAATACCACACTGCTTTTATTACTGTAGCTCTATAGAAGAGTTTAAGTCAGGTATGCTGATGCCTCCAGAAGTTCCTTTATTGCACAGGATTGTTTTGGTTATCCTGGATTCTGTGTTTTTTATATAAAGTTGAATATTGTCCTTTTGAGGTCTGTGAAGAATTTTTCTGGGTATTGAATTGCATCTACAGACTGCTTTTGGTAAGACTGACTGCCTTTACTATGATAATCCTACATATCCAGGAACGTGGGAGATCTTTCCATTTTCGATGTCTTCTTCAAAGACTTAGAGTTCTTGTCATATAGGTCTTTCACTTGTTTGGTTAGAGTTACCCCAAAATATTTTATTTTGTTTGTGGCTACTGTGAAGGGTGTTGTTTCTCTGATTTCTTTCTCAGTCTGTTTATCATCTGTATATAGGAGGGCTACTGATTTTTTTTTGAGTTAGTCTTGTATCCTGCTACATTAACTGAAGGTGTTTATCAGTTGTAGTAGTTCCCTGGTAGAATTTTTGGTGTCATTTATCTACACTATCATATCATATCATCAGCAAATATTGAAAGTTTGACTTTTCCAATTTGCATCCCCTTGATCTCCTTTTGTTGTCTCATTGCTCTAGCTAGAACTTCAAGTACTATATTGAATAGACATGGAGAGAGTGGATAGCCTTGTCTTGTTCCTGGTTTCAGTGGGATCATTTTGAGTTTCTCACCATTTAGTTTGATGTTGGCTGTTGGCTTGCTGTATATTGCCTTTATTATGTTTAGCTATGTTCCTTGTATCTCTGCTCTCTCCAAGACCGGTATCAAGAAGGGGTGTTGAATTCTGTCAAAGGCTTTTTCAGCATCTAATGAGATGAGCATCATGCTGCTTTTTTCTTTCAGTTTGTTTATATGGTGGATTACACTGACAGATTTTCCTATGTTGAACACCCCTGCATCTCAGGGTGGTCATGGTGTGTGCCACGACTGGCCCTGGTTTTGCTTTTATATGATGTATGATTCCTCAGTTTTGGCATAGGTTAAATCCTTGGGAGAAGAAAATACACAATGCTGGCCAATGCAATTGATGTCTATAGACCTGATGTGGAAATATACAACGTATGCCACTTACAGAGGAACACAAACTTTACCAGAATACATACTGGAATTTTAATTTGAACCTAAAGATTTTTAGAAAATCTACTTACCTATCTATATATTCCCCCACCTACCTTTCCATCCCTCCTTTCCATCTATTTACCTATCATGGTACAGGGGATCAAACTTTGTTATATGCTAGCAGCTAGGCAAACACTCTACCAGTGCCCTACATCCTCAGTCCCTTTATTTCTTTATCTTGAGACAGGGTCTTCCTATACAGCCTGGTCGGCCTGGGATTCACTAGGTACATAAGACTGGCTTTGAATGTAAAAAGATCCCTTGCCTCTGCCCCCACAATATACACCACCATACCTTTCTTACAATATCCATTTAAAATTTTCAGGAAGAGCAAAATAAGGAAACAGACTTAAGAAAAAAAAAAAAAAGAGATTTGGATGGGGCCAGAAGGATGGAAAAGATGCTCTTTCAGAGGACCTGGGTTCAATTCCCAGAACCCACAGCAAACAACAGCTTACAACCTTCTGTAACTGTGGTTCCAGGGGATCTGAGACCAATGCAAGTGGCACATGAAACATACATGCAGGCAAAACACCATACACAAAATGTTTCAATATTAGAATTATCATACATAAAAATGACAAACACTTGAAGAAATCAAAGCTAAAAGGAGTATCTTGAAAGGCTGAAGCCTGGGAAGTGGTTCTGCATGACTTCACAGCAGACATGCTTACACCATGAATCATAAGATTGCCTTAACAATCGGGCATTGGTGGCACATGCCTTTAATCCCAGTACTTGGGAGGCAGGGGAAGGCGGAACTCTTTGAGTTCAAGGCCAGCCTGGTCTATAGTGCGAATTTCAGGACAGCCTACAAAACAATAAAGAGAAACCCTATCTCGAAAAACAAAACAAACAAATAAAAAAAGAGATTGTCTTAACATTTCATTTTTCCCTAGACAATCAAACTCTGATTCAACTTGGGCTCTTCTGGGCTTATAAACAGAAGACTAAAGCCTAAGAAAATTAACTTAAGATGTATTTGGGAGAACAGAACAAAACAGGATTATGTTTAGAAAAAGAAAAAAAAACCACAGGAAAAAATAGCAATATATATAAAAATTAATATGTTAAAGAAATAATAAGAGTGAAAAGAATAAAGTACAAAACAAGACAGATGACCACTGGGATCACCATGACATGACCTAGTGAGTGTGCTGGGGATGGGGGTGGGGACAACAACTGAGACACAGGTGACACGCATAGTTCAGGTTTCTGGTGCTCAGTGAGACAGTCTAGAGACAATCAAGCAACAATTACAGGACTAGAGCTGATTTATCTAGGGATGATGAAAGTATGTCATGCAGGATGTGCGACCCAGCAATGACTAAGGTGAACTCTATGAAGAGTGCCTTCATGAAGCAGTAAACACCAAGTCAGGCAGGCATGTGGGGAGGCATGGTGAGAGTTGGCATGGTGTTCTGGGATTGGATTACACAGGTCAAGCAATGAGGGAGTGAAATGGAAAGAAAACTCTACAGGAACAACCAGAGAATTTTCGCTAAAAACTGGAGCAGGACTGGGGAGAGAGGGGTTTCTTCCAAGAAAACCCATTAGTTCAGTCCCTTGAGAGAGCTAAAAGCTAACTCTATTGGGCATAGGACGTATGTTGCTACTAAGAGATTAAAAAGTTCCTCTCTTTACATGTAATCTGAAACAAGTCAACCAGAAAAAAAATATACATATATCTATATCTGGGCAGTTTATTATAACAATACCTCCCTAAAGATATCCTTTTTCCATAGAGATATGCAAAGAACATGGTACAAATCACCTGTCTTTCATCACTGCTAAAATCATGGTTCTAGTAACCAAGTAGACTAGATAGTTCCCAGTGTTTACAGATATATGCTTACAATCACTTCCTGAATCATTAAGACATCAAGTCTTTCCCCAATGAGGCACACCATGTGCAAACAAACACTCAATGAGCAGATCAGGAACTCATCCAACTTGCTCATCAAACCAGAAAAGATGCACTGGTTTTTTAAAACAGTGTCAAATGCTCCATTAGTTTTAAGTTGTTCTATTTATTAAAAAAGTTTATTATGTAGGTATATTCTGTACTTATAATGACTGCAAACTTGGTGCCAACTTAATAATTTAGAAATCTTTTTCTAATGGGACACTTGTGGTTACAAGTCCTATGTGGACTTTTTGTTGCTTTGTGGTGGCAGATAAAAGTGAATGTTACTGATAAGACTTTGTTTTGTTTGTGTATTTAATGAGTTGATAAAGACAATTCCTTGTTCAATGTGGCCCAAAGAAGCCAAAGGGTTGGGTAGTCCTGTCGCAGACCAAACCAAAGACAGTTAAGCTATGAAAGAAATACATTTGTTCTTAAAATTTTTTAGATTTATTTATGTGTATGAATGTTTTGCATGCATGTATGTCTGTGCACCACATGCATTCCTGGTGCCTGCAGAGATCAGAAGGCATCAGATCCCCTGGAACTAGACTTACAGACAGATGTATGCTGCTATGTGGATGCTGGGAATCAAGCCCAAGTCTTCTCTTAACTCCTGAGCCATCTCTCCAGCCCAGGAATACATTTTTAAAAAGTTAATTATACTGAACTTCTGCAAGGATTTCATCAAAACTCACACTATTAAACATTATCTAGAATCTGATGATTCCAAAATATGTCCCAGGTGTAGCCTTTCTTCCAAGCACTGTCACTCAAGTCAGATTTCTTCGGCCCACTTGTATCTTTCCCACTATGGCGTTCTGGACATGTTTCTTTCTTTCTTTTTTTCTAATATTTATTTATTTATTTGAGAGTCTGGCCTCCCTGTTTTTGGCTCAGGACTGGTTCTTTCTTTTTATTTATTATGTATACAGCCTTTTGCCTGCATGTACTCCTGCACAACAGAAGAGGGTACCAGCGTCCATTACAGATGATTGCAAACCACCATGTGGCTGCTGGGAATTGAATTCAGAACCTCTGGAAGAGCAGTCAGTGCTACTAACCACTGCACCATCTCTTCATCCCCCTTACTTATTTGCTTTTATGTATGTGCTTTGAGTACATATGTATCTGTGTACCATGTAAATGCTTGGTGCCCACAGATGTCAGAAGAAGGAGTTGGCTCCCATAGAACTGGAGTTACAGATGGTTATGAGCAATCATGTGGGTATTGGGAATGGAACTTGAGTCCTCTACAAGAAGAGTAAGAGCCTCTAACTCCAGCCATCTCTCAAGCCCCCAGAGGGACAGGTTTAAAACTAAGCTGAGCCAGGCACTTGACTGCAGTTCCAGTACTTTGGGAGGCTGAGGCAGAGAGGAATCATTTGAGCCCCTTAGTGTGATGCTAGCCTGGAAAATAGTGAAATCCTGTCCAAAACAAAATAAAAAAACCCCAAGCTAGCCCATGCTAATCCTTTGTTCCATCTCAGAGTCTTGTTATCACCTATCAAGCCTTGCATGATATGCTTGTGTGGCACATTGCACACAATTCTATTCTACCACTCTCTCTCCTTGCTGTTGCTTGATTATGCCAACCAAGCTCATAGTCCAGGTCCCTAGACTTACCTCCTCTGCCTGAAGTGTTTTCTTTCTGTCAGACTAATGCTTGGCTTTCTTTCTCACTCTCTTCAGATCTTGGTGTAAATGTCATCAGTGAGAGACACTTTAACATCCCATATGACACAGCAACCTGGGACCTTCTATCACTTTCACTATTGTATTTTTATTATAACATTCAAATTAGTTGTTCTACTTATACTGTATCAACTACCACAGCTAGCAATGTAATTACTAGTAGAAAAATAGAACTTCATTTTATTCAATGTTGAATTCTTGGTGCCTAAAAACAGTGCCAGGCCCTTGCCTGATACACATTAAGCATTTGTTTAATGAGCGAATGAACAAATACAAGAACTGGTCCAGGTACTAGAAAAAGGGCTTCCTCTCTACTGATGAGGTAGGTCAAAGCCTAGCATGTACAATAATTACTTACAATATAACATGATTGAGTAGAGGGAAGGAACTAGGAAGGAATGTGATACTGGACTAGGGATTTTGAAAGGAAATACAAACAGAAGTTTACTAGGTGGAAAAGGTACCTCAGTACATGATCTAGTCTCAGGTAACAAATAACACAGTAGTATAATATATGTAATGGTATACCCTAAAAATTACAAGTCAGTTATTTACTTCTAGGAGGGGAAGGAATCTGGCAATCAGGCTGGCAAGGCAGATACAGGCTGGCAAGTGAAGAGGCTCCTAAGCCATGGATAGGAGCTTTAAGAAGGTTACAAACAAACTACTAGAGTGTCGGCAGAGCCAAGAGGTGTATGTGCTTGAAAAGATCAGCTAGTTGAAAAACTGACAAATGTGTAACTGTTGGTACTATATGACATCTTAAAACAACAACAACAACAAAACCCAAAAAGAAAAACTAGGTCAAGGATAAATTTCTGTCATGTAATAGGACACATGTGAGCAACACATCAGAGTAACCACATGAACAACATGTCACCACAGTCAGTCTTCCATGATACGGCAGGTTGGTATACTTTTCTATCCAGCGAAGCCAACAGTCCTCAGGCCCTTACACCATGTCCCACTTGGTAGTAAGCACGGCAAGTTTGAATCTTATGGTTGATAACTAGCACTCCCATATTATTTGATTTTCATACTTCAAGGCACACAGCTTGAGGACACCAAGGTTGTTAAAGAGAAAAAGTGGGCCTAACTTAGGAGTGGAGACTGAGACACAAGATGGAATTCCAACTCTGGCACTCAGTTTCTTGAGACCTCTTCATCACCCTGACCCTCATTTCTCCATGATTTCAAGAACATGAACCATCCTCACACTTGTGGGGATTTCGACACAAAACAGCCACATTGAGTGCCATTTTTAGAGTCATGCCTTTTATAAAACATTTTCCACTTATACATTTTTCAATGGAAATGTTACTATAACTGCTATATTTGAATCCATGGAATAATGCTGAGATTCACAAGAAAAGCTCTTTCCTTTCCCTTCAGAGGCTTAAGTATTTTTACCAAGAGACTGGGAGTGAAAGGATGGAAAGTTTTGCTAGAATATAATTTATTTCATTTTTGGGGGGGACAGTTGAGACAGAATTTCTCTGTGTAGCCTTGGCTGTCTTGGAACTAACTCTGTAGATGAAGCTGGCCTCCAACTAGAGATCCACCTACATTTGCAGGGGCTTCCCCTCCCCAAGCACTGGAATTAAAGGTGTGTACCACCACCACCTGGCTTATTTACTTTTTTAAATTATCAAGGTCATTGATATCCAAACAGCTCCTGAAGTTCAGAACACAAAAACATTACGTTTCCCAGTAATGAAACCACATATTTTCGACATAAAACAATTGTTCCGATTTGTTTAGTTAGGGATCCTCAAACAAATCTGACCACCACTCCATTTATTTTCACAGCTTTATCTCGAAACTGTCAGGAAAGTACTTGACACATAGTAAGCAATTCATTAATTTTGTATTGATTTAACGTGTAAAGAAGTCATCCAAAGAAATGGATAGGAAAAACAAAGAGGAAAGGTAAAATGCTCGATGAATGAAATATTGATGAGAGATCTGCATATCCAATGCATCCTGCTCTCTCTCTCAAATCACTTACTGTATCTGCAGCCGTTAGGTTGATACCCAGTCCTCCAGCTCGTGTGCTTAACAGAAACACAAAGATGTCATTCCTAAAGAAAAGCGGGAAGAACATGTTAGAAGGAAAAGGAATAATGTAATGTGGGAATAGAAAGGAATTTCTACAAACAGAATCTAGGGCTAGAAGAGTGCTGGAGATACAGCACCTGACTGATGCTTTCTTGATTGAGATACTGCAAAGGTGTTCTGTCTTTAAAATTTAAATGATGGAAGTCATCTTCCAATGTGCACATAAGTTTTTGCTGCCACACCAATAAAAGTACAAACATGAAGCTGATATAACAGAAATTGTCACTGTAGAAACAGACCTCTGGCTATACCACATTACAAACACACTGGTTTGTCTTCTTTCCTGGGATGCTCCTGGGCACCGGACCTAGGAACCTGTGTATGCTCGGTAATTGTTCTGCCGCTGAGCTACCCTTCAGTCAGTCCAATAGCTTTCTCCCCTCTTCTGAGATGCTTTCTTGTATCCTTGGGTAGACTAGAACTTACTATGTTAGCTGAGGATGTCCCTGGAGTTTTTGGTCCTCTGGCTTCCATCATCCAAGTGCTCAGATTACAGGGATGCACCACTAAGCCTAGAATTTCCATTAGTACATTTCCTCCCCTTAAGACAATGTTTTAACTATGTATTCATGGCTGGCCTGAAACTTGCTATATAAACTAGGCTGACTTTGCATTCAGATTCCCCTGCCTCTGCTTGAGTGCTGGGATTAAGAAAGGTATGCGCCACCATGTCTGGCCTGTTTTCTAGTTTGTTTTCATTTATGTATTTGTGTATACACATGTGCCTCCATTTGGAGGTCAGAGATCACGCTGGGTGCCTTTTTTTTTTTTTTTCTATATTTTGTGAAACAGACTTTCTCAGTGAACCTGAAGTTCATGGACTGGGTAGGCTAGCTAGCTAACAAGCAGCAGGCTTTCCCAACACTGGGATTATCGGCAAGTGCTTTCATACCAGGATCTGAAACTCACGTTCCCATGCTTGAGTAGAAAGCACTTTACTGACTGAACAATCTCCCAGCCTCCCAATAGGCCTATTTTTTTCCATCTTTCATTTGTGTGGCTGCCTTGAAACGATGTAGATCAAGCTGTCCTCAAACTCACAGAGATCTGTTTGCTTCTGTCTTCTTAGGGCTGGAATTAAAGTTGTGAACCACCACCACCCAGCAAGTTTGTTGCTTCTTAATTAATAACCTCAGCAGTTAAGAGAATTGGCTGCTCTTCCCAGCATCCACTTGGCAACTCACAGCCATTTATAACTTTTGTTCCACGGATCAGATGCCCTCTTCTGGTTTGCAGACATATATGCAGACGAAGCACCCATATATGCCTTGCCAGGCCCTATTTAAAAATAATTTATTATTATTAGAGAGAAAGTGTGTGTGTGTGTGTATGACATGTGCATGTGTGGCATGAATGTGTGTGCGTAGGTCAGAGGATGACTTTCAGAAGTCAATTATCTCATTCCACCTTAGGTTCTAGGGACTAGAACAAGCTCAGGTGATCAGGCCTACTTGACAGGAGCTACTTTACCACCAAGCCAGCTCCCAAATGTAACTAGTCAAGGTATTATTCCTAGATCATGCAGAGGCAACAAGTCAGAATAGAATTATAATAGTTTTAAAGATTTTCTTTCTTTCTCTCTCTTTCTGTGCATGTGTGCATGAGAGAGAGAGAGAGAGAGAGAGAGAGAGAGAGAGAGAGAGAGAGAGAGAGAGAGAGAGAGAGAGAGAGAGAGAGAGAATATGCACACAAGCTCACGTGTGTCACATCGAATGAGTGGAGATGTGGAGGTCAGGACAGTTTTCAGGATCGGGATTCTAGTTTATGTTAGGCTTGGTGAACAAAAGCTGTTTTCCACTGGCTTTAAAGCACTCACTTTGAGATGACACAACTTAGAAGATAAGCACACACTGGGAATTCAGGCCTGGTCATGACTTCTGTGCACTAAGCTGACACAGGACTAACCCAGGGAAGACATTTAAGATGGATACACTTTTTTTTAGATAAGGCCAACACAGTCCTTACATAGAAACAAGTAGATACAACCTTGATTCCTTTTACATTCTAAGTCTTTTTAAAGAAAGAATTACAAATCAGCAGATGCGATGGTCACTTATTAGGCAACAAATTATCTGTCAAATAAAAAAGGCCCAAGCCAGATCACAAGGGATTTTCACTGTAAAGCTTATTTTTATAAACAAACAGGTGTTCAACTGCAGCCTAGTTCCTGCAGATATCCTAAACACAGTCCAAGATAACCTTTCATTTTCATGTTCTCACATTAGGTTTTTTTCCAAAGCAATTCTAACAATCTATTAAAAAAGATTACTAGTGAAAAATTGTTAACTTCTCTGTATGCAGTGAGAACCACAACTGGAAATTCAGTTCACATGGTTTTCTTTGAACCGTAGCCTATACTCATTCATTCTCTCATTACACCCCCCACCCCGTTTTTCTTTGTGCAGCTTTGGAGCCTCACATAGATCCTCCTGCCTCCACCTGGCAACACTTTATTTTTATTTTATGTATATGGGTGCTTCGTCTGCATATATGTCTGTAAACCAGAAGAGGGCATCTGATCCGTGGAACAAAAGTTATAAATGGCTGTGAGTTGCCAAGTGGGTGCTGGGAAGAGCAGCCAATTCTCTTAACTGCTGAGGTTATTAATTAAGAAGCAACAAACTTGCTGGGTGGTGGTGGTTCACAACTTTAATTCCAGCCCTCAGAATACAGATCTCTGTGAGTTCCAGGCCAGCCAGAGCTACACAAAGAAACCCTGTTTTAAAACAAACAAACAAAAAAAAAGCAAAAGAACAAAGAACCACACTTCTAAGATATGTGATTCAGAAATGGAAGGAACATTAGAAGCTGATGGCTCATTTACCTTATTTGATACAGGTTCTTACTCTGTAGCCCAGGCTGGCCTTTGACTCATAGTAATACTTTTGTCTCAGAGTGCTGGGATTATAGGTGTGGTCACCACCAGGCTTACTGTTTTCCTTTTTCATCTTTAAACTCACCCATTATTATATTTCAGAAGTTTAGTTAATTTATAACATCAATTTTATGATTAAAATACAAAGCAAACAACAAAAACTGCAGGACATTTGTCAGTTTACAAGTGCATTTTCCCGGGGATACAGGCTAATGTAAATGAAAACTTGGACACTCACAAGAGATGTGATCCTAGGAAGAATAATAACAACAAGGTTTCAAATAAAAATTGACTAGGGATTTAGGGACCAACAAATGTCTAAAGAATGCCCTATTATTCCACTTGAGCCCTGAGACTGTTCTGGCTCCATATAACTTCCTCTCCTGCTCTAATACCTGTGTGATGTCCACCAAATGCCAAGGGCTTTCAGCGAGTAATTCCTGAAGAAGCCTAGCATATGAACACCTGGTGGACTTCAGGAAAGTAACTAGGTATGTGATGGCAGAAAGGCAGAAGGCAGCTGGGAAGACGAAGAAATGAAAGAGCAGAGAGATCACACACTCACAGTGATCTGGAGGGCTGACGAAACCAGACCCAGATGCAGTAAACACTCATAAATAGGAAACACACATACACACAGAAAGATAGAGTGAGAGAGAGAGAAATTAACACAAAAACCTAGAACTGCAATTGGAGAAAAAATTGTCTTGCCCACATTATGCTATGGAGCCCTGACTAGCCTCAGACTTGCCATGGACTGCCTCTGCCCCCACAACACCAGAACTGTAAGTGACCACTACCAGTGCTAGGGTGAAAATGCTTCTTTCAGATATAAATTTTGTACTGAAAAGACAGCTTCTGGTCACACAATATTTATTATAGCCAAAATTTTCCTACAATCAATGTAATTTAAACACACACAGAAAACAAGGATTAGAAAAATCTTGAGTTGTAATTATCAAAGGAGTTAGTTTCCATTCTGGCCTATATTGTCAGATTATCATAAATAAAATATTTACAACTGCTGAGGTCTGTTTTACTAAATATACTTAGGTTTTAAAAGTTCTGACTAGACAAGACAAACTCCCAGAAGGCAACAGTGTAGCCTGACTGCCCTCTAGGGGCTGGAGAGAAGTTATACTCAAGACTTGCTGAGTAGCAAGCTCCTTAGGGGGTAGAGCAGGGAGTCTATGAAACCCCACATTGCATAGGCATACCTTGGCCTCAATCTCACCCTTTTAAAACATCCCACTAAGTCCCTTTTGCACCAAGATGCCCAAGCATGAATGGATGGGAGTGAAGCTCCTTGAATGACTGAAAAAGCAGCACAATGTAAGAAGATACTGTAGCATCACAACACTTTCATTCTGAAGAAAACAAATAACAAAACCCACGCTATAGTCATTTCCCTCCATGTTTTCCAAAGGGCTACCCTAACTGGTCAGATATCTGGGTGCAGGGAGGAGTGGGAAAATCCATCTGGTAAGGTGAACGGGTAGGAGAAAGGGAGGCAAAGGCCAACTCATCACAGAGCACAGACCTTGTGAATGACTCCTAGGATCACACACTGGTCACATGTTCTGAATGCTGCCAGGACATCCTGGCCAAACAGTCTTTAGTCTCAGCCAGACTTTTTCCTGGAAGGATCCCTCATAAATAAGCCTTGTATGAAGGGAATGTAAGGGAATGTAAGTGGCTTTTTATAGGAGTTCTTGTTTACTCTGGCTGACCTTTGAGCCACAGGGCTTTTGAGTTGAAACTGCATTTTTTTTCTTTTGATGTCTTTTCACTAATAATAATGAAAATATTTGGCAAAACATGCCTTTTGTTTTGAAAAACACCTGTCTTTTTCTCTAGTTTAAGATGCCACTCAGACTTACAAGCTGAAAACATCTTATGCGGGAAACGTGATAATGCAGTATGTATATTTCTGCTGCCTTTAGAGGTCAGAAGAGAGCACTGTGTCTCCTGGAACTGGAGTTATAGTTGTGAGTCACCACATGAATGCTGGAAATCACACCTGGATCCTCTGCAAGAATAACAAGTGCTCTTAACAGGCTGAGCCTTCTCCAGCCCCTCCAGGAAACTTTTCAAAATGCCTGGTGCTACTGGGCATGCTCAAGGAACTCACTAAGTCAGGAGATTAGCTGAGAATGATCCATAATGCCTATTATTTTAGCACTTAGGAGGCCTAGGATTACTTTGAGTTCTGGGTTAGCCTGGGCTGCATATCAGGACCCCCCTAAGTCCCCAAAAAGAACAACAATAAACAAAACAAAAAACTCAACACTGGAAGAAATGGCTGAAAAGATAGCTCAATGTGTAAGCAGCTGCTGAGTTCAAATGAAGACAAGGACCTGAGTTTAAATTCCCTACAATTCACATAAAGAGCAAGGTGCAGTGACACCTCTGTATTCCTGGAACAAGAACTCGTAGACAGAGACAGGTAGATCCCAGGGCTTTCTGGCCAGGTAACAAGTACCAAGAGTGAGCTCCTGGCTCAATGAGAGACCCTATCGAAAAAAATAAATAAATAAAAGAATGGCTGATTGTCTTGTTTCATTTGAAGCAAAGTCTCTTGCTATAGCCTAAATTGGCCTGAGATTTGTAACATGTTGACATCTGATAGTGTCAGATATTTTAGCTGACTCAATTCCAGAAGTGGGGAAGGAGCGAGGAGAGAAGGAGAGAGGGAGAGAGGGAGAGGAGGGAGGGAGAGAAGGAGAGAGGGAGAGAAGGAGGGAGGGAGAGAAGGAGAGAAGGAGGGAGGGAAAGATGGAGAGAGGGGGAGAGGGAGAGAGGGAGAGAAGGAGGGAGGGAGAGAAGGAGAGAGAGAGAGAGAGAGAGAGTCAAAGACATGGGCTCTATGAGATCTGTCTCAGGAAAGCAAACAAACAAGTAGAACAATAAATTTTTCTTAATTTTTAAGCCTTAAGCTGGATGCCATGGTGCACACCTTCAATCAAGCACTCAGGAGGCAAAAGCAGGTAGACTCTATAAGTTTGAGGCCAGCCTGGTCTACATAGTGAGTTCTAGGACACTAGAGCTGTTATATACAGAAACTGTCTTGGAAAACAAAAAATTAAAAAAGAAATGTGGTTAGCCTGCATGTAAGTCTGTGTAATGAGTATATGCAGTACCTAAGAGGTGAGAAGAGGGTGTCAGATTCTTTGGGACTGGAGTTACAGTCTGTAGTGAGCCACCATTTGGGGGATGGGAATCAAACTCAGGTCCTCTGGAAGAGCAGTCAATGCTCTCAATCACTGTCACCTCTCCAGCCTTCTACCACATTTTTCAACTCTCTGAATGTAAGAAGGGGATTTAACAGATCTATCTGCAGAAGAATGGGGCTTTCTCTGAGGAGAGCAGTCACTAAACTCTGCTTAGCAATAATTAGAAGCAAGCAGCACACAGGACAGTAATGACTCTTGTAAAGCCCCCAAATTAACATGTTGTAGTTAAATTTCACAAGCTCATTAGCAGCTGGGAGAGGTACTGTGACTGAGAGCTCCAAACAGGACAGATTGAACTCCACTGCAATTTGTCATATTGTTTTCTATAATATCAGAAAGCTCATAGGAAATGAAATGCAAAACCAAATTCAAGCCAATTCTGAGAGATAGCTGCTGCTGCTGGCACTTCTCTTGCACATGCTACATGAGCACCGTCACTGAGCTGTGTCTTTTAGCCTGACATGTAGTTTTGCAAAAATTTTTCTTCATAGACACCAATATTCTCTTCTTTGGGGTCCTCATTCATATTCAGAAATCCTTTTATTGCTGTAAGTAGCAATGCCTGTAGTCCCAGAGCTCTAGGGGTGGAGGCAGGGATTTCAAGAGATAAGGTCAGCATAAACTACCTGTGACCTTGTCTCTATCCTCACCTTAAAAAAGAAAAAAAAAAAAAAACATCTTCACTTTCCAAAATAGCAGACAATGATGTTGTGAGAAAATAAACGGCTGTGTGTGTTAACTCATGCCTGTAATCCTAGCATTCAGGAAGAGGCAAAGGGTCACTGTAAACTCAAGGCCAGTCTGGTCTACAGAGCTAGTTCTAGGACAGCCAAGGCTACATGGCCATATGATGTTTCATATTAATACTCATATTCTCTTTTTGATCTGAATCACTCTAAGCAGACCTGGCAAACTCTGAGAATAGTAGGTTCTAGCTGCTATGGTGTTGCATACCTGTAACCCTGGAGCCAGGGAAGTGGAGATAGGAGGATACATAGATCTCACTATCTAGCTACTCATACAATCAGTAACCTCCAGATTCAGCGAGTCAGTGGAGAGCAACTGGTGAGGAAGATATGTAATGTTGATCTCTCTGATACCCACAAACACATAGGAACACATATCAACACACACACACCACACCATAGGTGTACTATCGTGTTGCTTAATAACCTAAGATGTGCTAGCTTAAAACAAACTCATCACTTAAAGCACCAAGGAAAATCAAAAGAAGTTTTGTAATTCCCATTAATGTTACCTGGTCTGAAAATCAGCAACCATGTCCCGTCTCTCTGAGATCTTGGAAGAACCATCCAGCCTCATGTAGGTATGCTTTCTGTAAACCATATATTCCTGTCAACCAGGATAAAAAAACACAGTAAGTCTGATGCCAATCACAGCACTCTACTTCTTGATAAAAACAACCCCCTCCCCCCTCGGACTGGAGAGATGGCTCAGAGGTTAAGGGCACTGGCTGCTCTTGCAGAAGTCCTGAGTTCAATTCCCAGCAACCATACGGTGGCTCACAACCATCTATAATGAGATCTGGTGCCCTTTTCTGGTGTGCAGGCACACACACAGGCAGAACTCTATATATAAGTAAATAAATTTTTTTTTTTTGTTTTTACGAGACAGGGTTTCTCTGTATTGTTTTGGAGACTGTCAGTCCAGCCCGGCCTCGAACTCACAGAGATCCACCTGCCTCTGCCTCCCGAGTGCTGGGATTAAAGGCGTGCGCCACCACCGCCCGGCAGTAAATAAATATTTTAAAAAACAAAACAACAAACAACAAAACAAACCCCACAACCTCCCCCAAATAAAAACTAAATCCCCAAACTAAATGGATTTTCAGTCATTAAGCATATATTTTTCATAGCTATGAACACAGTCAGCTTCCTTTCAGTAATTAACATACCAGTGTCCCTAGGCCCCACCTTGGCAAATCCCTTTGGATTAAAGTTCTTGAATTTACAGTCTTGGTATCAAAGTGAAACATATGACAAAGTAATTTTCCTAAGCTGAGTATGTTCTTCATATCACCTTTGAGAGGAATCACAATTTGAAGAATGGAGAAAAGATTTTAAGAGATCCAACTGGAAGAATGTTTCTCTTGTTCCAAAAGTTGTGGTTCCTCAGAGAAGATCAAATTCATGCTTATTTTCCCTTTTGTTAACCAAGATCATATTTCAAAAAGTTCACCGCAGAAAAGCTCCGATCCAAATCTCAACAGGGCAGCATATTTATAAACAGACATGTGGCCCGGTGAGGTGGTGCAGGCTTGCATCCCCAGTCCTTGGGAGGTGGAGGCAGAGGATCAGGAGTTTTAAGAACTACCTCAGCTACACAGCAAACCCAAGGCCAGCCTGGGCAATACGAGACCTGAAGCAGGCAGGAAGACACAGACACCACAGACACAGCAAACAAAGAGTAGTCCTTCAATCTGTGGTTTACTTTCCTTGCTCCAGTCTACCTACAGTAAAGCTGCAGTTTGAAAATAGGAATCAGAAAACAAGAAACAAGTAATTAATAAGGTAGGGTTTCTTTGTGTAACCCTGACTGTACTGAAACTTCATCTGTCAACCAGGCTGGTCTCAAACTCAGAGAGCCCCCTGCCTCTGCCACCCAATTGTTGGGATTTAAGGTACACGCCTCTCGGGTTTCATTTTTGAGATCAGGTCTTACTATATAGCCCTGCACCTCTTTGTAGACCAGACTGCCTCTTAACTTCAAAAGATCTGCCTGCCTCTGTGTGCTAGGATTAAAGGCTTGCAGCATACCAGGCCAATTAGTAATTTTTTTTTTTTTTTTTGGTTTTTCGAGACAGGGTTTCTCTGTATTGTTTTGGAGGCTATCGGTCCAGCCCAGCCTCGAACTCACAGAGATCCGCCTGCCTCTGCCTCCCGAGTGCTGGGATTAAAGGCATGCGCCACCACCGCCTAGCTCCAATTAGTAATTTTTAAATAACTTTGATATCATGTTTTACATTTTATTATTAGCTACTGGTAAATTCTTACTTGATAAACCTTATTAGGTATGTACAGAAAAAAAACAGTGTATTTGTCTGAAGGTTCTGGGCAGTCTTAGAATAAACATATCTATAGGTACAACTATATATAGTTTCTAACATAACTTTTCCCCACTGAGAAAACTAACCAGTCTAGCCTTGTGGAATAGCTCTGTAATCTCAACTACTTGGAAAACTAAAGCAGGAGGGTAAGTTCAAGGCCTGCCTGGGATACAGAATACATTCATGACCAGTGTGGGTTGCTAAATGAGATTATGTTTTATAATAAAAATCAGAAAGAGAAGCGGGGCTATAGTCAAGTTACTACTTCAATTACTAGTACTATAAAACAGCCAACCAAAACCAAAAGGCCAGTAAATTCTACATACTGGAAATATTTATACTGATTTCCTGTGGTGGTAACCACTTTTTCCCATGGAGCAACTTTCTCTAAAATAGATCATATATTAGGACACAAAGTAAGTCTCAACAAATACAGGAAAATGGAAGTAATTGTTTGTATAGTATGTGATTACAATGGAGTAAGGCTGCAAGTCAACAACAAATAAAAATCTAGTAAATACACAAATTCAAGGAAATTAAACACACACTAACAAAGAATAAGTAAGGTCTTTGAAGAAACCAAGATAAAAATAATGGACCTGGAGAGATGGCTCAGTGGTTAAGAGCACTTACTGCTCTTGCTGAGGACCAGAGTTTGGTTCCCAACTCCCATAAGGAGAGGCTCACAATGAGGGCCTGTAATTCAAATTACTAAGGGATTTGACACTTTCTTCTGGCAACTGGGCAACTTCACTCAGTGCACATATGCCTACCCCCACATACACATAAAAATGAAAGTATTTAAATGCCAATTTGAAATGAGAAGTCAGTTATTGCCTTTTACAAAGGAAATGAAAAGTTCTTAGAATCAATCGGAAATGAAGGACATACCACAACACAGACTTATATACAAGTAGTCCTAAGTGCTTCCATTAAGAAATCAGAGAGTACTCAGAGAGATAACTTAATGATGCACCAAACCAAATCCTAGTCAGTAGACAGAAAGAAGTCCAGCAGTGGTGGTGCGTGCCTTTAATCCTATCATTTGGGAGGAAGAGGCAGGCGGGAATCTGAGTTTCAGGACAGCCTGCTCTGCAGAGTTAGTTCCAGGACAGCCAGGGCTACACAAAGAAACTCTGTCTATAAAAACCAACAACACAAAAACAAAATCTTCTATAATAAGCAATGAGATTGAAGCAGTAATTAAATATTTCTGGTTCAGATGGATTTACTGATGAATTTTACCAAACCCCCAAAGAACTAAAACTAATGTTTCTCAAACCATTTTATAAAACAGGAAAGGGACATGACAAAATGTTTTTATGAAGCTAATATTACCCTGATACCTAAAGCAGATGTATACAATAACAAGTAAAATTACTGATCAATTTCCTTGAACTTAGATTAAAATATCCTTAATAAAATACAAGCAAACTGAATTCAAGAACACATCAAAAAAAAAACAAAACAAAACAAAACCCATTCACCATGACCAAGTTGAGTTTATTCCAGAGATATGGGCATGGTTCAATACTTGACAACCAATAAATTGGATAGATTAATGGACTCAAGAGACAGGAATCATACTGTCATCTTGAAAGGTGTAGAAAAGGTTCTTGGGGGCTGGAGGGATGGCTCAGCAGTTAAGACAGCTTGTTGCTCTTGGAGAGGACTAGGCTAGATTCCCCGCATTCACATGGTGGCTCACAGCCATTCTTAACTCTAGATCAGGGAACCGAAGTCCTCTTCTGACTTCCCTACGCACCGGGCATGCGCATGGTGGCTCACAGCCATAACTCTAGATCTGGGAACAGAAGCCCTCTTCTGACTTCCCTATGCACCGGGCATGCGCATGATGCACATGCACATATGCAGACAAAACATTGTTTTTTTGGTTTTCGTTTCATGTTTTTGAGTCAGGGTTTCTTTGTAGCTTTGTAGACCAGGCTGGCCTTGAATTCAGATCTCCACCTGCCTCCGCCTCCTGTGTGCTGTGCCACCCCCCAAACATTCTTATACATAAAATAAAATGTAAATACATGGCTGGGTAGTGCACGCCTTTAATCCCAGCACTCGGGAGGCAGAGGCAGGTGGATCTTTGTGAGTCTGAGGCCAGTATGGTCTACAAGAGCTAGTTCGAAGACAGTTGGGGCTACATAGAGAAACCCTGTCCCAACCCCCCCAATAAATAAATAAAAATTAAAAAATGTAAATACATGTAAATGGCTATTGACAAAATCCAACACCACTTCATGTTAAAAAGCCCTGAAGAAACTTGGAACAAAAGAAACGTAACACAATAAATGCTATATACAATAAAACTACAGCTAACCTTAAATGGGGGAAAACTCAAAGAATTCTATTAAAATCAGGAACAAGATAATAGGGCCCACCTTCTCCACATGTATTTAATACAGTGTTGGAATAAGACAAGAGAAGCAAACAAAAAGCACACAAACAGAAAAAGAAGGCAAAGCACCCCTGTTTGCAGATGACAAGATTCTAATCTAAAAGATCCTAAAGACTGCATCAGAAAACTTTTAGAACAGGTAAGTATTTTCAGCAAAGTGGCAGGACACCACGTTAACCAAGATACCAGGGAGGGGCTAGCAAGATGGCACAGCAGTTAAGAGCACTTAACAGCTCTTCCAAAGGACCTAGGTTTGATTCCCAGCACCTACAAGGCAGCTCACAACCACTTGTTGTAACATCAGTTCCAGGGAGATCTGATGCCCTCTCTGGCCTCCTCAAGCACTACATGCACATTAATGCAGGCAAGATACCCCAGACAAAATTAAACAAAGGAGAAAAACAGAGAAACAATCCTATTTACAATAACCTAAAACAAACAAACAAACAAACAAAAAAACAACAGCTCTAAAATAAACTTAATCAATGTGGAACACTTCTGCAATGAAAATTACATTAGTTTATTTTGTGTGTGTGTGTGTGCGTTGTGTGCGCATAATGCTCTCAGAGGCAGGAAGGCATCAGATCCCCAGAGCTGAAGTTATAGGTGGGTGCTAGGAATTGAACTTGGGTTCTCCACAACAGCAATGTGTGTCTGTGTCCTTAACCATCTGTTGAATCTATTCAATGAAAAATTTAAAACACTGAAGAAAAAATAGGAAGACACCAGAAGATGGAAAGACCCTCCCATGTTCATGGATGGGAAGAATCAATACTGTGAAAAATGCTGCCTTGCCAAAAGCAGTCTACAGATTTAATGTAATTTCCATCAAAGTTCTAGTGGTATTCTTCACAGGGGAAAAAAAAGTTAAATTTC